TCTCACTGGCTGAGCGTGGTGCTGACAACACCAAGCCAAGGGTTGAGATCCCCTTACCGGCCATCTTTTAAAAAAAAAATCCTGTTTGAAAAAGAGCTAGTGCTCACCTGGTGGCAACCCACTTAATTTCAGGCAATAAACTAAAAGGAAATAAACTATTGCACTTGCAAATTAAACACATATAAAGTGACAATAACAGTTTTACCTTTCTCTCCACCTCTCTACTTTCACACAAAATAGGAACACATTCTCTTTTCCTCAATCTCAAAAAAATCATTTAAAAATGTTAAAATCGTATATAGAAGTGATGGGTGAAAGCATGGGGGCGGAAGATAGAGGTTAAAGGCTCAAGAGATCACATACTCAAACTCAGAATTGTAGCAAAGCTCCGTTAACCTAACAGCTAATACATTTGATTATTCCTGTTTAATTTTCTAAAATAATGGTGAAGCTGTACAGATTTTTTTTTTTTTTTTTTTTTGTCCTTTTTGAGACCGGCCGCACCACTCAGCCAGTGAGCGCACCGGCCATCCCTATATAGGATCCGAACCCTCAGTGGGAGCGCTACTGCGCTCCCAGCGCCGCACTCTCCCAAGTGCGCCACGGGCTCGGCCCAGAAGCTGTACAGATGTTAATAGCCACTTTTAATTACTCCATAGTTGTAGATTTTTGACATTATAAATAAGTAAGAACCATGCCAGGATAAGCAGAAGGCGAGTTAAGGGAGACACTCAAGACCCCACACTTTGGGGCCCCATGAGCAGTATAATGACTATGCAGGATAGAGACTCTGGAAGGCAGCCAAGGGAGACACAGGAGTGACCCCGTGCCATGCTGTAAGAGCCTAGGATCGACACATTAGAGGGAGTGCAGTCAGTAATCATTACACAATCAATATGCAATCTGCACTGTGCCCTGGGCAGGGCAGGGCAGAACTTGTAGGAGAACTCAAAGGGGAGTGAGGCAGGGCTCCTACCCTGGCCTCTTTCTCTGCCTTCTATCAACAAAACAAAGCAAAGAGAATTCTCCCCTATTCCATATACAACTCCCAGGCTGCAGCTTTTAGGTCTTCTTTCACCCGACCCTAACTGCCCTTACCCTTCCATATGCACACCGATGGTCAAGGCACGACTCAACCTCACTTGAATAAGAATGTTGGGGAGGAGCTGGTGGGGTGAAATCAGGCTCAAAACACTGATCTGACCACACTGTGTCAGGAGCAACTGGCTTGTGATGATGCCCCTTGACTTTCTCTCAGGTCAATAGGCCACTTCGAGAAATCTGATATAATCTATAGACGATATCCCATTCCTTCATCCCCCAAACTCATCTGCACAAAGTTTTACACAGTTTTATGGGTTTCATGACCCCCTAAATCCCATCTATGGACTCTGAAATTAAGAATTCCTGCTCTAAAAGTTCCTGGAGGAAGTAGGTACTGAAGGAGTTCAGAACATGCCACCCCAAAATATGCTGCTTTGATTATTTGGAACTGCAAGTACTTGAAAAACAGCAGGTGCACTCTGACCTTCCCTTTCCCTCCTGAAAGCAGGAGATAAAACTCCCATGTAAAAGATGCAGTACCTTATAAATTCCAGACTCCCAAGAAAAGGGGGGGTGGGGAGAAAGAAAAAAGGGAAAAGATGCCCTCCCTATACCAGGAGGAAAGAAACATTCTTATCACCAGAGATGGGGAGTTGAGGCCAAGAGAAGTCTGTACAAACAAACTTTGTTAAACCAACCCTTATCCTCCTAGTTACTTTTCCACAATTGCCACTCTTTGTTCAACTTAGTGTTTAAGCACTTAGGCCTAGTCACTCCTTTGGGTCTTCATTTTTCTTGCAAGGGCTCCCATGTACATGGAAATAAAATTCACATGCATTTCTTCTGTTAATCTGTCTTGTGTCAGTTTAATTCGTAGACCCAGCAGGAGACCCTAAGAGGTAAAAGGAAAAATATTGCTTCCCCTACAGTACTAGATTGATCAATAAAGAGTAACCTGCACTGTAAGGCTGAAACTGAGCTTTAATGAACAACAGACACATAAGGATGTACATCCAAACCACTGGGCATGTTTTTTACCCTTTTGGACTGCAAGGAGCCAGGAGATGTATTTTTGACAAGTGCTGCCTCAGAGCACCGACTGGTACCTGCCTCTGTAGTGGGCACTGGAAGTATCAGGCCAGAGCATGATGGATGGAGTTAAGGATATGGAGGAGGAGGAGGAAGTGACCTTTTGAGGATAGGCACTGAAAACACTGTCTGGGATCAGGAGAGTAGTTAAGGCTGGGAGAGGGATGGCTAAGAGGAAGGCTACAGAACTACAATAATTATTAGAACAAAAGTCCAGATATCCCAGCCTGCTGGCTCCACTGTGCCCACTTGGTCTGTGACAACACAGGCAGAAGATGGCCCAGTGATCTGTTCTCTGCCTGGACTCTTCTTCAGCCTGTCTTTGCAGAGAACAGAGAGTGCATGTCTAAACATGAAGCTTGTTGCAAGCATTACCTTGGGGATCTTTCTCTTCTTCCTGCCATTCTGTGGGTCTCCAAGGTTAAAGAAAGTGTCATCTGGGCTGCTGGGAGTGGAGGGGGGGCTGGTTTTGGAAGGTGACCCAGTTCCATCTCGACTCAGCTTCCTAGTATCCAGTAGTTTGAAGTTCCTCCTCTCTGAATTTTGTCGGAAAAAAGCAGGTTTGGACAATGACTGCTGTGAGGGGAAAGGAGAAAAGAAGAGTAAATAAATACAAAGGGTACTAACAAGGAGATGACTGGTGATGCCGATGACAGAGACCACGAACTTGAGAAGGGGAGCCGGTCTGTGTTCCCAAGGTGCATGGAGTCTGTTAATGCTAATAAGTGCTCGATAAATACCATCCAGTTATGAAAAATTTTGTGGTAAAGGATGTGAATCTAATCCGGTCTCTCTTCTTAGACAAGTGGAAAGTCACCTGGCTCAACTCCTTGACTTTGCAGATGAGGCTTTCTGGTAATCCAAGACACATGGACTGGGAGTTATAAGACCTAAGCCTTGCTCTGGCCCTGCCGCTGGCTCACTGAGTGCCTCCTACATGAGAACTTACACTGTTCTGGGCCTCGGTATCTCATTTCTAAAACAAGTCTCTTTAAGCCAAAAGGCAAACAAAAAACTTGTTAAAAAATTTACAACTCATAACATAGAAAAAAACTCATTTTCCTAACATATACTACAAATCAATGAGAAAAAGACTAACAACTCAAAAGAAAAACTGGCAAAAGATTAGAATGGAAAGTTCATAGAAAAGGAAATACAGGGCCGGCCCAGTGGCTCACTCGGGAGAGTGCGGTGCTGATAACACCAAGGCCCCGGGTTCGGATCCCTATATAGGGCTGGCCGGTTTGCTCAGTGGCTGAGCGTGGTGCTGACAACACCCAGTCAAGGGTTAAGATCCCCTTACCGGTCATCTTTAAAAAAAAAAAAAAAGAAAAGGAAATACAGGGCCGGCCCAGTCGCTCACTCGGGAGAGTGCGGTGCTGATAACACCAAGGCCCTGGGTTCGGATCCCTATATAGGGCTGGCCGGTTTGCTCAGTGGCTGAGCGTGGTGCTGACAACACCCAGTCAAGGGTTAAGATCCCCTTACCGGTCATCTTTAAAAAAAAAAAAAAAAAAAAGAAAAGGAAATACAATGATTCTTAGATATATAAAAAGATTCTTAGCTTCTTCACTCATAAGAGAAAGGAAAATTAAAACTCCACCGAAGAAACATTTTTCACTCAAAGATTAGCAAAGATAAAAAATTTGATGACTCACTTTGGTGAAAGTCAGAGAAAAAAGTCACTTCCAGATTTTCATACACAGTTGGTGGGAGTATAAATTGGTACAACTGTACAGAGAGCAGTCTAGAGTATCTAGTGGAATCACACACACCTTTGGACCCAGCGATTCCAACTCTAGGAATTTACCCTCCTGATACACTCGTGCTTGCGCAATAATACAGTGTACAAGGAAAGTTAGATTAGGTGAAGTATATTGTATGTTGTGACAGGTTTGTAATCACAAAATACTAGAAATAACCAAAATGTCCACCAACAGAGGCTGGTCAAATCAATTATGGTACACCCATACAAGAGAATACTATGCAACTGTAAAAAAACTTTACTGATATGGAAGTTTCCTTCAGACAGATATATATGTATTTTTAAGCATAAAAATCAAGGTGTAGAATAGTTGGTATAGCATGCTGGTTTGTATGTGTGTGTGTTTTAAGGAACTATTCTGCTTGTATAGGCATAGAATAGTTCTGGAAGAATATGCAAGAAACTGATTAACAATGGTTGTTCCATAGGAGAGAAGTATAGGAACAGGGGTGAGAGGAAGACTTTTCATTGTATACCTTTCAAATGCCTTAAATTGTGAACCATATGAATGTATTAACTATTCACTAAAAGAAGAAATATCAATAAAATAAAAGAACCACTTTCTGTTTTCTAATGGTACTTCCAGGACTCACATTTCATGATACTATATAGTTACAAAGCCTCTCTTTAAAATTAGCTGATGAACTAAATGAGATAAAGGTATATAAAGCACCCAACAGAGGCCTGATATTCAGTAGGCATTCAATATAAGTTACTTTGCTTCCTTCCTCTTACAACATTGACATTTCTTTATTCTTTAATGTGCTAACTGCATTTTTCTTTGGTATATTTGTGTATGTTCTTTGTCTATTTATCTTTCGGGATCCTACTGATTTTCTTATTATTTTGGATGAGCTCTATATAGAACAGATATTAACTATTTGTCAGTTTTCCTGCAAGTATGCTTTTCCCATATAGTTTATTTGCATTTTAGTTTTGGTCATGTGGAATTTTTCACCCAACTTTTTTATATGAAAATATGTTAATCTTTTCCTTTGTGATTCATTTAATCTCTTCTTTTTTTGCCTAAAAAATCTATCTCCTTTTAGAGGTTTAATAAATATTTAATTGTATTTCCTTCTGGATTTTCTTGGTTTGTTTTGAAGATATTTTATTCATTAATACATCCTTAATTTATTTTGTTATGTTAATCAAAATCATTTTTTTCCAAACTAAATTATCTCTATTCTGTTTAATGAATAAGCCTTTCTTTATCAATTTACAAGGCCACTCTTATCATTTCTTTTTTTTTTTTCTTTCTTTTTTTTTTTCGTCCTTTTTGAGACCGGCCGCACCGCGCTCAGCCAGTGAGCGCTGTGAGCGCACCGGTCATCCCTATATAGGATCCAAACCCGCAGCAGGAGCACTGCTGCACTCCCAGCACCGCACTCTCCCGAGTGCGCCACGGGCTCGGCCCACTCTTATCATTTCTTTTTTTTTTTCGTCCTTTTTGAGACCGGCCGCACCGCGCTCAGCCAGTGAGCGCTGTGAGCGCACCGGTCATCCCTATATAGGATCCAAACCCGCAGCAGGAGCACTGCTGCACTCCCAGCACCGCACTCTCCCGAGTGCGCCACGGGCTCGGCCCACTCTTATCATTTCTTAAACTCTCATAGAATAGGCCTATTTTGTTCCATTAATTTCTCTATTCTTGCTTAGTTCCAAATAGTATGTAACACTAACTTTACAGCCCTATTTTTTAAATTAGATTTAAAAAGTTTTAAAAAGATTTCCAGGAATAAAGTCTCTTCCTGAGTGGCCAGCTCCAGTGTTCTATCATGAGTCTACAAGGAGCAATTAATTGCTTAGTACCAAATAAGCTTTCAGTAGAGGAAGCTTTCAGCAGTCACTATGGGCATCTTAATCAAATTAGCACAAAAAGAAGGAATATTGGAGTAGGGCTGGCCAGTTAGCTAACTTGGGAGAGCGCAGTGCTGATGACACCAAGGTCACAGGTTCAGATCTCTATACCGGCCAGCCAACAAAGAAAAACAAAGAATGAGGGGCATTTCCTTAGATTTCACTGCAGATGGAATTTCGCCTTCTCAATCAAATTCTTGGCAAAAAGAAGGTACGTTTTCATTAATTTCACAATTTAAGATTTAGATTGTGATAATGTTTGTTTAAAGAAGATTTGACCAATGAAAAAGTCCGAGAAGAAAGAAAATAGGGAAGGAATCAAAGCACAGCTCACAGCTTTCTTTCTTTTTTTTTTTTTTCCTTTTTGTCTTTTTTCGTGACCGGCAACGGATTGCAACCCTCAGTGTCACGCCCGTACCGGACCGGGACCGGCAACGGGATCGCAACCCTTGGCGTTGCTCCCGCACCTCTTTCGTGACCGGCAACGGATTGCAACCCTCAGTGTCACGCCCGTACCGGACCGGGACCGGCAACGGGATCGCAACCCTTGGCGTTGCTCCCGCCCCTCACTCAGCCAGTGAGCGTCCGGTCCGTATGTGGGATCCGAACCCTCGGCGGGAGCGCCGCCGCACTTCCCAAGCGGCGCACTGCAGCAGTGCGCCACCGGGCCGGCCCAGCTCACAGCTTTCTAAAGCAGGTTAGGAGACCTAGCAGAGGCTTTGTATGGGCTCATCTCCAAGTTGGTCACACTGCTGAAGAAAGGGGCTCTAGGTGTGTCTCCGAGCACCCTGAATAAGCCACCAAATGTGCAGGGAGCTTTCATGAGGAGGTAGAATTTCAGTAGCTAATTAATATATTAAATTGATAAAAGAGAAGAATTAGTAGGCTGTGGGGGACAGCATTATCAAGTACATAGCACAATCTGAGATTAGGATTAGTGGTGAGGAAATGCAGATTAGACCAAAGAGAGACTTAATGGCTGATAGCAAGTGCAGCGAAGCAGATATAAGAGATGATACAACAACAAAGACATCCAATTGTCTGTTGGAGGCCTTTGAAAGCCAGGATACAAATCGTGGACTTAGCAGGGATCACCAAACTTTTTCTTAAAAGTCAGATAGTATCTAAGGCTTTGCGGACGACATCACCTCTATTGCAATTACTCAACTGTGCCACTGCAGTACAAAAGCAGCCATGGATAGTATGTACATGAATGAGCATGACTGTGTTCCAATAAAACCTCATTCATACAGTCGGGTAACCAGCAGTAGTTTGCCAAACCCTGAACTGTACTGTAAAAGGGAAGTCACTATAGGACCCTAAGGATGACTGTGTCAGACTTTGGTTCACAGAAGATTCCAGCTTTTGATCAGAGCACCTCATGCTTCATGTGTGCATCGGACAACTGGATTATCTTTCTTGCACAGTGCCCTGACAACAATATTCTCTATCTACCATGTCTCTATCAAGTAACCTCAGGGGCCTAGCTCTGTCACAGAGGTACACAGAATCTCCCTAATCTTATACGTATTGGGCTCACAATGGGCACAGCAAAAGATCTGTAGTGTCCAAAAGGGAAAAGCAGACAAGGACCCTCTGGGTCTGAGGTCTGACTTCCCTGTTAGAGCCTGTTGAGTTATTTCAGGAGACTGAGTGTGAAGGGCCCCGGCCAGGGGACATCTTGGTAGAGAGGAGGGGGCGGCAAGGGAGCTGTGTGCTTCCTCAGAGGGAGCTGACCTGGACTTAAGCCCGGGTTCATTAACTCTTCTTGTCTGAGAAGGGAGGCTGACAGCTAAATTCCTTCTTGTCCTTTACTGTCCCTGTCTTTACTGTCTCAAGAGACACTGACAATAGAAGACTATAGGGGTCCTTGATATAAAAGATCCCATCTCTTCCTTAGCTATCTCAACCTCATTCCTACTCTCTTTACAGAAACCTCTTGCTTATATAT